ATATCGTGTATATGTGTGTGTGTGTGTGTGTGTGTGCGTGTGTGTGCGAGCATGTGTGTATACATATGTGTGTGTGTGTGTGTGTGTGTGTGTGTGTGTGTGTGCGTGTGTGCGTGTATAAGATATATTTATACAGTATATGTCACATACAGTGCACATACTGTGTGCATTTTCCATCTGACATGCTAATAGGCACAAAGGCATGAGAAGGGGATGAATGGATTAACGCACATGGATGTGAAATGGTGTAGATGTTTGAGGGGCGACACAAGCAGTAGATTAAAGAGCAAAGGATGAGACCTGCACCGCTTATCCTAGAGGAATCACAGCCAGCACACACAGACTATGCATCTTACATTCCTTCAGCACTAACAAGCCAGCTGCACACACACACACACACACACACACACATACACATGTTTGTTTTCCTATCACGGTGGTAGGGACTTTCCATTGACTTCTATTGTTTTTATAATAAGCTACTACAGACTAGCCTTAAACCAAACTAAACCTTTACCCCAAAAGAACTAAACTTTATGAATAAAAAAACTGCAATATTCATGAATCACTTTAACCTTTGAAGACAGCCCTGTGTGTCTATGTACAAATGTATGTATCTCTCTAAAAAAAAATGAAAAATTTAAAAAAATTATATGAATAAATTGTTTTATTCTAAAAATGCAAAAAGTTTTTTTGTTTTGGCAAGACTGTAAGTTCACACACACACACACACACACACACACACACACACATACACACGTTTGTTTTCCTATCACGGTGGTAGGGACTTTCCATTGACTTCTATTGTTTTTATAATAAGCTACTACAGACTAGCCTTAAACCAAACTAAACCTTTACCCCAAAAGAACTAAACTTTATGAATAAAAAAACTGCAATATTCATGAATCACTTTAACCTTTGAAGACAGCCCTGTGTGTCTATGTACAAATGTATGTATCTCTCTAAAAAAAAATGAAAAATTTAAAAAAAAAGTGTCCTTAAGTACAATACTCAAGTAAATGTACTTAGTTACTGTCCGCCTCTGGTTACCCCCAACACTGGTAATAGTAGATAAGGATTCTCATCTACTATGGTTCCTTTATGAGGAAATCTCAATCTATTTGTGACTTATGTGAGTCTAGGTGCTCTTTGCATGACCTCAACAACACAATTCTATCTCTCATGATCTTTCTCCTGCTTTCTTCTCCTTTACTCAGCTGACAGACCTATTTCTGGGTTCTTGACAGATGGTCTGTTATTCATTTCTAAGACCAGTGTGTTACTCATTGTGTGTGTGTGAATAAACGTGTAGCTGTGACCTTATGAATGCACAGAATAGGTAGATTCAATAGGTTAATGACAAATATTAGATCTAATGCGGTCAATGTCAATACCACACAACACTAAATTATTATCTCACACCAGTCTTGAACAAAACAGCTTTACCTCATATATTCTCTTATTCTGTGTTTTTCAAGGTTTTTCCTGAAATTCTTCCTCAAGTGCAACCAGAACTGCCTAAAGAATGCAGGGAACCCAAGAGACATGCGGCGATTTCAGGTAGGACCACACTCAGTCAGCTCACACTTCTATACTAAAGTGGTAAAATTGCAATTTTAACCATATATGTTAGTGGATAAGCTGCACTTGCATTGCTTGCATGGAATGGTAACACTATAAAAAATTTCCATCAATAACATTAAAATCATTATTATATTAATAATGCTCAGCAAATGAGTAGTTAATGAACATTTAAATAGTTTGAAATTACATGAAATTTAATATATTTTAGGCATATCAATCGATTAACCTTTTTAATTTACGTTAAATACAGTGAATCCCTTTTATCAATATCTGAAATATTTTCAATATTTAGGTGATATTTAGAACATCTCAAATGAAAATAAGATTTTAGCAAATGGCTGCAATATAACAAAGAGTGAAAAATTTAAGGGGGTCTGAATACTTTCCGTACCCACTGTATATATATATGTATGTGTGTGTGTGTGTGTGTATATAAATATATATATGTTTTTTTTGTGTGTGCACAGTGAAACACAGTGATCAAAATTGGAGAATAGTAACCACTGTAGCACGAAATTAATTTACAACTAAATATTACAACAAAACATTTGGAGGGTTACAGCTGTCAGAAATTAGTTGGAATTGTGGAGGCCCTTGCTTTGAATGACTTCAGCACATCTGCGGCTGCAGGACATCACTAGTTTCTCACACTGTGCTGGTGTGATTTTGGTCCACTCTTCTTCCAGTCTCTTCGATAGCTCGGTGACTGTAGTCGGTTTCTTAGCCATAACTTTGTTGCCAATGATTTTCCAGAGTTTTTCAGTTGGGTTTAGATAAGGACTCTGGGCCGGCCATTTCATTATTTCAATGTTTTCAGCTTCAAAGCACTGCTTTAACCGTTTTGCAGTGTGACGGGAACATTTTCTTGCATGAAAATTGCAGGCTGATTTGGAGATGCTTGCAGGGAAGGTACTGCATGTTGCTGAAGGAGGTTCTGATAAACATCTTCATTCACCCTGCCATGTATCTGTATAAGAGGCCCAACTCCTGCTGCACAAAACATGCTGCAACCATGACACTTCCTCCTCCACCTTTCACTGACTTTTTTACACACTCAGGGTTCAGTCTTTCCCCAGTTTGACTCCGAACGTAACGATTCCCATCTGACCCAAATAAATTAAACTTTCTCTCATCACTAAAGTGAACTTTGGACCAATTCTCCTCTGTCCACTCAACATGCTCCTAGCCTTTTCATTCTTTCTGATGATGAGAGGCTTGGTCACTGCAGAGTGCACTTTCAGTCCGACTTCTCTTAAATGTGCTGAAACAGACTCCTGTTAGGTTAACTTCAAACAGGACTAAGCAGTGACCTTGAAATGTAGGAAATTGTAGGTTGTTCTCTATTTTTAATCTCCACCATATATATGTATATATACAGTGGGGCAAAAAAGTAGTATATATATATATATGGCCCTTATACAATCCAATGTATTTCACTAAAAAGTATGAATGGTTAATACGGATGTAAAGAAGAGGGAGAAAAAGAAAGCTTTGAGCGAATGAAGTGGTTGCCTAGAACAGGGATAATGTAAGCAGTGTTTGCCAAGTCTCATCAAGCCTCTTCCTCTCTTGAGATTGAGAGACCTCTCAAAGCCTGAGAGCCATTTAAATCAAGAGGCTCCTCAGTTGCTGTGGGACACCTCTAGTCTACATCTTCAGCTCGGTGAGAGCTGTTAGCTGCTGTCATTGTTCCAGGCTCTCTGGTGAAATGTGCCTGTTTGTCAATTTATCAGTCAGCAGTTACTTACAAGCATACCATGTGTATGTGCTGCTCCAACACTTCAGCTGTTTGTTTGAGCTACGTATTAATTTGTTTACAAGAACAGAGTATGTCTTTGCGGGTCAAGTGAAGTACAGTTATCATTTGTCTCTTGCAGGTGGTGGTGTCCACAACGGTCAGTGTGGACGGACACTTGAGATTGAGAGACCTCTCAAAGCCTGAGAGCCATTTAAATCAAGAGGCTCCTCAGTTGCTGTGGGACACCTCTAGTCTACATCTTCAGCTCGGTGAGAGCTGTTAGCTGCTGTCATTGTTCCAGGCTCTCTGGTGAAATGTGCCTGTTTGTCAATTTATCAGTCAGCAGTTACTTACAAGCATACCGTGTGTATGTGCTGCTCCAACACTTCAGCTGTTTGTTTGAGCTACGTATTAATTTGTTTACAAGAACAGAGTATGTCTTTGTGGGTCAAGTGAAGTACAGTTATCATTTGTCTCTTGCAGGTGGTGGTGTCCACAACGGTCAGTGTGGACGGACATGTCCTGGCTGTGTCTGATAACATGTTTGTACACAATAACTCTAAACATGGACGCAGAGCTCGCAGGCTGGACCCGTCTGAAGGCACTCCGTCATACCTGGAACACGGTGAGTGTACATACTATATCTGTTTACATGCATTTTGTCAAGAAATAAAGAACACACGTTTGCCATATCAATATACACAAACTCTTCATATCAAATTGTTTCGTAGTGACAGAAAGAATGAGACAAATGGGAGAAACCGACAGCAGGAATTAAAGGCAAACCCCCCCCCCCCACAACCAACTTTTTGCACACACTAACTAATAGCAGCAACATCCCAAGCACCATTCAGCTAAACTAAGCCACTTTGTCACACTCAATGTAGTTTCATTGTTTTGCTGCATGAGCACAGATGGTTGCCCATCATGGCTAGCACTGTAGTTCCCTTTCGTGGAACTTCGAACTGCGTCCTCTAGGGGTCGCTATGGGGAACGCCTCGTCGTGACCCGTGTCTGAAGCCTACATTGAAAAAACACCAACTTGTTTGGCCGGCGACAGCCATGACGTCACTACCGTCGCGACTAGTACAAAATAGGCGCCGGTAGCGCACATCATCACTTTCTTCGTCTTCACTGACCGTTCTGTTTGAAGCGTGCATTCCAAAAGCAAAGTAAGAGCCTTTTCTTTTCCTACTATGGCGAGCACTAGCGGAGCGTTTAGAAAGTGTGTCAGGGAACCATGGTTACATAAGTAACCCGAGACGTTTTCCCTTACGTCAACTTATAAACTTACAGACACAGCTTAAAGCTGAAGTGTGCCATTTCTACCCAACTACTGTCACCAAATGGTATTGCAAATATTGTGATTTCAGGTTTCCTCCACCATCTTCGATTGACTTGATAGTCTAGTATGATCAGGACAAAACAAGGATCTGAGCATCACAGACCCACAATGTTTTGGGAAATCAACCTACTAATGGCTTACTTATAGTTGTCTCAGCATATGAAGGGTATAGGAAAAACATTTAAATATAGAAACAAATAAATAAATACACACACATGCAAATGGTCATGGTCAACAGAAAGCTGCTTGGTTTGAAAGTGACTTCTGTGTTTGCTGTGATTCATACATCAGTACACTATTGACAATGGATCATTTTGACCACAAAATTTTGTGCCCGAACCTCAAGAAAAAAGTTTTTGTTTTCAGTATAACTCATAAATTTTAACCTGAAACCTTTCATTCAGCCCAGAGCTTTAACCACTACAGTACAGTATCCACATTTTACCATATTTAAATCCATTCCACAAAAATATGGCCTTCTCTTAACCAACAGCATGCTTCCCTTCACTCACCCCTACTTAGCCACTCTTGTCCATTATTGTGTCAGTTTTAAACTATTTCCACTCCCCTCCAGCTAATGAGCCTGTTCTGTCAGATATGGCAGGCATGTGTGTTGATTGCTCTGGGCTGCGGAGACGAGGGTAAAGTGAGGGCACCAATACATGAGGTCATGTCACAAACGCACTGTGGTGGAAAGAGGTGTCTGCAGGGCTCGAGAATGTTAGTTTGTAGAAAAGAAAGCTATTGTGCTTGTATCTGTGATGTGTGTAAAGAGCGACCGTGTGTATGCGTGCACACAGCGCAAGGGAACAGATGGCGGCAGAGGAGGCACCAAAGTTTAATCCTATCAGATGTATTCGCGTCCTGGGGTGTTACAAAGTATTTGTGAAATCTAGCTAACAAAATATATATTGTGTGTTGGAGTGGTCCAGACGCTACACAGCTCAGTTCAGTTTAAATAATATCTTTGCAATTATGTCAACGATAACGCTGGAAATGAAGTGGAAACTAAGGAAAAATTCTGTCTGACTTTAATAAGCCAGCCTTTTTTCCTTGATTTAAGTTTTATTAAATTAATCATAAGTGACAGTAAATACATTGATAATGTTACAAAAAAAGAGAAAAAATCTATAGCAAAAATCTATATATATATCTGTTTCCACAAAAATATTAATCAGCAATATTTTCAACATTGACAATAAAAAAAAAGATTAATATATATTTTTAATAAAATATATATATAAAAAAAAAAATATATATATATATATATATATATTTCTTGAGCTTGCTAATGAGCATATTAGAATGATTTCTGAAAGATCATGTGACTGGAGTAATGGCCGCTGAAAATTCTTTTTTTTATTCTATATTTTTTATCAAATAAATGCACCTTTGGTGAGGATAAGAGACTTTCAAAAACATTTTTAAAATCTCATCGGCCCCAAATCTTGGAATGGTAATGTAGCTAGCTTCTTCTTCTTCTTCTTCTTCTTCTTCTTCTTCTTCTTCTTCTTCTTCTTCTTCTTCTTCTTCTTCTTCTTCTTCTTCTTCTTCGTCTTCTTCTTCTTCTTCTTCTTCTTCTTCTTCTTCTTCTTCTTTAGTAGCTTGTAGTGTTGCTGCTTTTTCAAAAAGGTTGCATGATTGTACTTTAAATTATATTTAAAATTTCTTGTCGTTTCACAAACTACAGATTACCTCCCCCAACACTGTTCCCTGGACTATTTTTCCCCTTCTGGTGAAAATAAGTCTCCCCAAGTCTCAGTCTCCCCTGCTATTATCAATGCTAGCTGTTCCCAGGGCATCGCCGGTGGCTGACAAACACCAGTTTGAGCTGTGCAAGTGAGGCCTACAGCCTCGTCTCATCTCAGTTCAGGTTCTATCAGCAGCAGCGAGCACTTCCTACCTACACACAGGCCATCTGCCTCCACCACACGTCTGCCTCAGTTAGTTGAACCATCATACGAGCGTTGAGTTTAGACCCCCACCTTCGCCCAGGGGTCCTGCCTTCAGTCAGAACTGTGTGTAACGCTTGTTAAAGGATGTGAGTTCAGTCCCCCTACCAGAGTTACAGAAGACAACAGAGCCACCCGTGACAGACTCTCCCATTCCCTGCCTCCGACAGCTGCCTCAGAGGACTCTTACTTCTCTCTCTCTCTCTCTCTCTCTCTCTCTCTATCTCTCTCTCCCTCTCTACCTCTCTCTCTCTCTCTCTCTCTCTCTCATGTCTTTTCCTTCTATTTAAATCCAGCAGCAAATTGGAACAGCAGTAATTAGTTGGTTAAAGTGCCTTCAGTGAGACACCAAGCTTTAGAATCCGGTGCCAAAGTTCAACACGCTGAAATGAAATTTAACCTCATTAAGGTGTTGAATTTTTATGGCTGGCTGCTGTTTTCTCAGAGTGTCCCAGGGCGCCTGGCCTTTTGATCGACTGCTGTAAGGACTCCGGATTTCTCTGTGCCTGGCGAACTCCGGCGCTCATGACATTTGCACAAGTGTCATAAAACAAGCGCTCGCACCTGGCCCCCTCCCTCCTCGCACACACATGGGGTCAGTGTAATATTTAATAAAGGTGTGTGTATAATCAAGCAGAATTAGCATTCGTGTTCTCCTTCCACCCCCAGAGGGGAAGGAAGGAGGGTTTGGAGGGAGGAATGCTGCTATAGTACACTCATCACTGACTGATCTTTTCCAGTCTGACCCTCAGATTTCATTAATTATGTCCATGACTAAAACAAAGGCGGAGGGGAATTATGCCTTTCATAAGCAGAGCACCAGGGGGGCTTTCACTCTGTGTCTTTTGTTTGGTCAACCGAGTCTGAGCGTCTGTGGACCAGAATGCATAAGTTGTGTGAGCTGCACAGTTCTGCTTAGAGTGAGGAGTCAGGTTTTGTGTTGATAAAAATTTACATAACATGTCAAAAAGATGCAAAGAGATAAAAAAATATTGAATTTGTGTAATATTATTGTAGAAACAATGTCAAAATGACAAAACATTAAACAAATAACTGACAGATGATCGAAATTCATCATACTAATGCATCACCCCTACAATATAGAAACTGTGCTGATAACTGATAAATTGATATTAAAATATAATACTGTTTTGACAAAATAATTTGCAAATTATTTGAATTTATTTATTGCAACTTTATATTGTACATTATTTTGAGACATGCTAAATATTATATTTAACAATTTAATTATATTGTAATATAATTTATTTAACTTTAGTTTAATTTAAATAATAAAAAGTTATTAAAGTTATTATTACTAAGTGGGTATCAGATAGCAAAGCAATCTAATCTAATTAACCAATGGTATAGAGCAGGGGTGGCGAAAGTCGGTCCTGGAGAGCCGCAGCCCTGCAGAGTTTTGCTTCAACCCTAATCAAACATACCAGGTGAGTTTTTATTAGGGTTGGAGCTGAACTCTGCAGGACTGTGGCTCTCCAGGACCGGAGTTCACCACCCCTGGTATAGAGAGAAGCGAGTAAAGAGAGACTTCCCAGTTGAACTGTAACAGTGCAGGTTTAAACTATGAAGTGGATTTGGAGTGGGGTTTCTCTCACCAGTGAGAGGGGTATAAGAGTCAAGCTGGAGCAGAGTCATTATAAAACACTGATTGGAGGGGGATTGCTGTCACTCCATTCCACTCTCTGATTTTGAGTCGTATTCCTCCATGTGGTGATGGGAACAATGTAAAGTTCCCAACACAGTTAGAAATGATCATGGTGAGGTTGCAGGTGATTTCCGGGCAACCACAGCAGTGAATCATGCTACTATACAGGGTAGATTGAGATAAATGACCAGTGAGCAGGCGTCATCTCTCATGCTCGTGCCGCTGTCAGGAAGCATATGGGGACAGTGCAGAGGAATGGCCACAGTCTAATCATATGTGACAACTCTAATGAGTCAGTCACTTGTCATTAAGCTGTGCCTAAACCTTTCTAATAGAGTGTGGCTCATAAATCTATTTGCTGTAATCAGGAAGAAATCAGTTGCACAGGTTTAGATTTATTTCCTAAGTATTAAGTATGAAATTATGTCACAGGTAATGCACACAAGTGTTGATTTGCTGGCTGCTTCCAGATGTTTATTCTGATGCTTCTTGACATTATTTATGTATAAACTCTTTACAGGTGTCTTGATGTGTACAGGCTAGTGTTGGGGGTAACGCATTACAAGTAACCCGAGTTACGTAATCAGATTATTTTTTTCAAGTAACTAGTAAAGTAATGCATTACTTTTTAAATTTACAAGAAAATATCTGTTACTTTTTCAAATAAGTAATGCCAGTTACTTTTTTCCCATTTATTGATTAACAGCTCTTCTGTCCCCATGTTGAGAGAAATCGGGAGTAAGATGTCACTGTATTTCTAGAATAAATGTGAACATGCATTAATTAATGAGATTAATGCATTAATCTCACTCGAAAAAAATAACAGATTCAGTATTCCTCAAAATGAATAAAAACAGTGAAATGCAACTCAGAATGTGATGCAAACCTGCACTAATTAAATGTTGAATAATACAAATATCCTTTATGTATTTAATCCCATTTTATTAACCAATGTCTTTGCTGCTGACCTTCAATGATCCAATTCAACCATACTAATAAGCAAAAATTACTCTAGATAAACATTTGTGCTTCTTTTTTATTGCTGAAGTGTGTTGAACTTTCTTCTTTTGTGTTCTATTGTACAGACGTGAATTTACTGTCTCTTCAGCCTGAGAGCTTTTGGTGTGAAAGGGCTTTTACGTTTACCAAAAATATAACTTATTTTATATTGAAAACAAACAAGCAAGCCCTGCCAGATTCAAAAGTAACGCAAAAGTAACGTAACGCATTACTTTCCATAAAAAGTAACTAAGTAACGTAATTAGTTACTTTTTAGGGAGTAATGCAATATTGTAATGCATTACTTTTAAAAGTAACTTTCCCCAACACTGGTACAGGCAAATAAATAAAGTCATAATTAATGTATATTGCGTATGCCTTTTCAAGGTAAACTAGATGTTTGTTTATTGTATACAACGGCCAGTAGCTTACTCATTTTTTCCACTTCCTCTTTCTCTAAAACAGCTACTCCTTGCATTAAGGCCATCAGTCCCAGTGAAGGCTGGACAACAGGGGGTGCCACAGTCATCATCATTGGTGATAACTTCTTTGACGGCCTACAGGTCATTTTTGGCACCATGCTGGTCTGGAGTGAGGTCAGTTACCTTTCTATGCAAACTTCTGCCAAAGAAAAAAAAAAGAAATCCATGCCATGCTCTAGCCAAAAAACAGAATTGGGAATCACAACTAGGGTTAAACTGAATTTGAATACAAAGAAAAGGGAATTAATGCATCTTTTTAACTAGTTAAGCAACTTAATTAGCAAATATGCCTGAAATGGAAGATGCATTCAAAATCCACTTGGCTCGCAAATCTGAGAAGACACGTGCCAGTTTGAATGGGCATAATGCTTCTGTTCTCATTTTTGGTCTGCCAGTCTGTCTGTTTTCCTGTCTGTCCATCTGTTTTGGTCTTTTACTCACTCAGTTTCTGCGTTGCTCATGTTGGGAAGATCTAGATGAAAGAGGTAATTCTATAAAAAGCCTCTCATTGACAATGCCATATTTATCTGAGAGGTGAGAAGAGCAGTGCCTGGCATATGAAAGCCCAGCTAAGTGAGCAATGAAAGGGACAGTTTAAAGCCATGTAAAGCGGCACCAGTGCTGCTGGCTTTGAATATGACAGAGCGTTTGCAGGGAAACTGATCACTCACAGCTGCTTTGTAGTTGCACAGATCCTCTTCAAAAGGGATTGAGCACAGTTTCACAAACACTGTAAGTAGTCAAATCATAATCTAATCAGTGAATAATACAATACTGTTTAATAGCTCAGCTAGCATGGTTGCAGGTAGATAGGGGTAACTTAAACACACGTTTTTAAACTTTGTGAACTAGTTCTACAGTACAAGAGTCAGATGCAAAAAAGGTGGACAGACTTTTGATTATGTAATGACTTGGAATGTTTGCACCTCCAACAAACAAAAGCTTTTCTCTAATTGGCTGGCTAGATTTGTGCCACCATATGGATCTAACAGAAAAGGTCATCTCTGACTCCAGTACTGACCAGTGACTTCTCATAACTCTCCATGCAGCATGGCATTTTATATTTTTCTCATACTAAGATGAGGGGCAAAATGAAAGGAAACACTGAAGCTCCCAACATCTCAAAATATACCGGAAGCTATGTTCAGAATAGAATACATTCTCAGAAAAAAGGTACAAAAGCTATCACTGGGGCGGTGCCCTTTCAAAAGGTACTAATAGTTTGTACATTTTACGTACTAATATGTATAATTTAGGTGTAAATAAGATTTTTTACCTTCTAGCTTTTGTACCTTATGGTGCAGCCCCAGTGACAGCTTTGTACCTTTTATGTTTACTTACTTAATATGTAATGTATACTGCACAGTATACACTGTATGATACCTACTGTTCTTTAATAATAAAAAAACATGAAACATTTAGAGCAACAATCAAGTAGGCCTATATTGTTGTCACACGACTTAAATATGTTACATGTGTGGAGGTGACCAATTTTAATATTATATTTAAAAGAAAAATTAATTATAAATAATTGAATGAAAATACAGTATATTTAAAAATAATTGAGTAAAAAGATGTTATGTTTTGGAAGTAAATTACCAAATAATTAATCATGAAAGAGAACTGATTATCAGTTCAGGTTCCTTTCTATTACTGGAAATGAAAGGTTGAACACATTGCGTTGTGTTTATTTTAATATTTTGTTGCCTTATTTCAACTTACGTAATCTACCTGTTTTATTTTGACAACAACAACAAAAAAAAGAGCCAAAAAAAAAAAAACACACTTTTCATTTTCTCTTTCAGCTCATTACCCCTCACGCCATTCGAGTGCAGACTCCTCCCAGACACATTCCCGGGGTTGTGGAAGTCACTCTGTCCTACAAGTCAAAGCAGTTCTGCAAAGGTACACCAGGCAGATTTATCTACACAGGTAAGAATAACATTAAGCACCTTTAGATTTACTCAGCCAGCTGCGTACAACCATCATGTCTTATTGCTTTTCAATTGTTCTTGATTTCACGTCAGTCTGGGTTGAGTAAGTCACCCAGTGTTTCCTTTAGCGAGAAACCTACGCCATAGAGGAATCCTACCTATTTCCTGAGCACACAGCTTAATATGAACGGCTGTGCCTCGAACTCCAGGAAGATGCAGCCTGCACAGATAAGGGAAATGTAAGACTTATCTTATAGAGGAAAAAGAGGTCACCTGTGATATCTGCTGGCTACAAAATTAGTTTACTGTACACTCTACATATTGGGAGTTCAACCAACAAGAAGTAATTAACTTCAGACTTCCAGAAGTAAGGGAACCGCATGATGGAAGTATACTGTATGATAGAATCTAATGGTAAAACAACGTGAAATCAGTGGAGGAAGATGTGAAGAGTTTGTTTGCTGATCTTGCAGCTTTTTTAGTTTAAATTTAGAGTTTGCAGTCAAAGTAAAAGCACAGCTTTTCTGAAGAGCGTTAAAACGCTGAAGGGAGCAATGTTAAATGCCTGTCTCATCAATAGGTTTAAACAGTGCACAGCTGTGGGTATTGTTGGCTCAGTAGGTGTCTATGTATATGCTTGTGCATTCGTGGGTGTGAATGAGTATGCTCATTGAGTTTATGGTGCTGGACTTGGCTTCTTTTCATGGCCTATTCAGCGAGCACATGGGCAGGAATGGAGGGAGGGATTTAGACGTTCGCACACAACCATACAAACACACATACAGCCACACACCCTCAAAAACAGAGGGCAGATGGTCACCCCGTTTTATGGCTGCACTTCTAGATGTGCCCCTTTTGCAAAAGCTTCAAACATAATAACCATCAAGAATGCTTTTGATTAAATATGCCGTTTTTCATGCACACAGCACTCAAACTCAGTTTGAAACTCTATGTTGTTAATGACATGAGACCAAATGCAGGGCTCCACACACATTAAAATGGTCAGTGCGGATCTGATGCCCAGCCATAGGTTGGCCCCAACCGTGCAATTCTCCTCAGTTTGAAGCATTTTGGGCTGTCTCTCTTCCCCTTGTCTGCCTGTCCCAGCTACTGTAGTGGGACATCAGCCTGTGTGTGTCTTTCTCTCTTGGCTCCAGTTGGCACCTGTGCCTTGCCCAGTTGCCAGTGGGTACTAATCATAGAGTATTGGCAAAGCTATGTGGCAGCTGGCAGTGGAATTACACATGGGGCATCTGGCACCTCTAATCAACTTCTGTCAGGCAGAGGAGATGGAGACCTAATCAAATCAATGGTGCACTGATGCTGCCTCGCTCAAACACCACACAACCATGCGGAAAGGCTGAGCCGTACCTGGAGAACATCCCTCACAGCCATGGTGGAGAGAAAAAACAATCCTTTCAGGGGAAAAAAAACTCATTTAATTTTGCTTTATTTTTGCTTTTGAATGCATGGTTCTCACAAGTACTGAAACTAAGGTCTGTCTCCAGAATCACACCAAGATTCCTGACTTGATTTTTTTTTGTTTGACCCCTAGAGTCAAGGTATGCATTCACCTTGAGAACTTCATCTTTGTTTCCAAATGCAATGACTTCGGTTTTTTCTTTGTTTAACTGAAGAAAGTTCTCGCACATCCAACTGTTAATTTCATCAATGCATTGGCAGAGGGAGTCAATGGGGCTGTAGTCATTTGGAGATAAGGCTAGGTAAATCTGGGTATCATCTGCATAGCTGTGATAGGCGATTTGGTTCTTTCTCATTATTTGACTTAGTGGGAGCATATACAGGCTAAACAAGAGCGGCGCCAGAATTGAGCCTTGTGGGGCTCCGCATGTCATGGACGTCCACTTAGACTTATGCTCTCCTATATATAGATTAGTGCATGATTTTAGAGTATTGTCTTTATGAGTAAATTATGACACTGATTATATTTGACACCATTCCATCTGTAGTGATAGAGTTGTGTTTTGGCTTTGACTTCACTCTGATTATGAACCAAGCAGCCACCCAGTAAATTGATTCCTTAAAGGCCTCTCATTTCAGAAGTCTCGGATTCTCTAAGATTCTTGGCACACGCTTGTGTGAACTGTGCCTCTGGCTGGCCAACGGTTTGTATTTAAAGGGATAGTTCCCCCAAAAATTATTTCATCATTTACTCACCATTATGTCATTCCATACACGTATGACTTTCTTTCTTCTATGGAAAACGGAAAGAGAAAATTTTAAGAAAAGTGATGAGTGTTGTTTTCCATGCAGCTACAATAAATGGGGACTAAGCTGAAAGAATAATAAGCACTATAAAGTGTGTGTGTGAGTTTTTTGTTTCAAAGTCAGTATCGGAGAGCAATTAACTGAAAGTAACAGCATTTTTCAGTATCGTGTGGTCCAGTAGTTATCATTGCCCATCTCACCGGCATTTTTTTGCATTGTTGGAATGCTATAGTTAAGCTTCAGTGAGGAAGACCCAGTCAAAGGGATCTCAACCACAGTTACTGGGCCTCTGCAATTAAACATCCAGAAGCTCTCTGCAATTATATTTATCATCAGAAACAATTAAACACTCACTGCCTGGGACATTACCCGTCCTGCATGGCACTCCGCAGATAAGAGGGATGAATCATTCCTCCCTACTTTCTCTCTCTCACCCTCCCTTTCAATTCATCTGCAACAAATGCATTTCCATGTTTGGTTGTGTATTACTTCTCACCATATTGCCATGTGTGCATCATTCGTCAAAGGGTTTTCCGTCTGTTTTTGAGGGAAAGAGGCAGAGTTATAATGCTATCTGCCAGTGAGCGTATGTGAAGCCCTGTGCGGCCGATAGATTGGAGGTGTTGATGAATCACTTGAAATGTTCAGCAGGCAATTCATTGCTGCTCAGTATGCAGGCCAGTAGGCTGAACAGCACCCATCAGGCCCGATATTAAAAGACTCGATCACATTAGAGGGAGCTCTCTATGCCTGCCCAATGATTAAGTCTATGGGAGGCATTTGTCACTATAGTTGAGGAAAAGCCAGACTTCACATCATACATGCATTCACCCTCTCTTTTAATGCAAATGCATGTATGTTGGGGTCCAAAAGTCTGAGACCACAAGGAAAAATCTTTATATTTGTTACAAAATGATATCAGCTTAACAGTTTGCCCGTCCTTTTGCCTTAATGCACTTAAGCATTAAGGACTTTCACAAGTTTGTGTAAAACCTAATGATCATGTTATCCACAGCATAATTTCATGAATGATCCAAAAAGCAACTCGTGCTTCAACATAAACACAAATCTGATTAATGGCCCAGAAATATTTTTTAAATATTTCATATTTGTGATAAGTCTCCCAAGGATGCATCTATTTGATAAAAAACAAATACAGTTAAAACAGTAAATTGTGATTTATTATTAAAATGTAAAAGAACAGTTTTCTATTTTGATATATTTTAAAATTGTATTTATTTCTGTGATGGCAAAGCTGAATGTTGAGCAGGCTTCACTTATTCTAATTTGCTGATTTAGTGCTCATTTCTTATGTTAAAATATGTTGTGCTGCTTAATATTTTTGTGGAAACTATATATATATATTAAATGTTATTATATTGAAAAAACACCCCTTGAATGTGAGTGTATATAATAATTTCTACATGGTCTCAGACTTTTGGACCCCACTGTAAATGTACATCCTTTATGCATTCATAGTCACCAACTTATTTTTTCCTAGCACTAGATTTGATGGAGGCTTTCTTCTTGAGTGGGCTGAGTGATCGTTCGATTTTGATAATGAGTCTCTTTAATTCTATTGACAAATGGGGTCACACTAGGTGATCAATGATAACCGTTCCAATTAAATTGCTAAACCTCTGCATGGTGGAGATTATAGCCATAAAGATATAGAGCAATTGGTTTGCTCAACAGCGGGGCGCCTTCAGTGGGCCATTTCACACAGATGTCTCTGTCTTTTAGGAGCTTCTGCTCACGATCAAGAAAAACAAGTCATCCATTTTACGGCCACAGGTTCCAAGATTTTTTCTCCCCCCTTGTCTTAAAGTGATGCCTTATTTAGCTTGTCGGATTTTCCAAATAAACGCAATCACTGGGTTTATGGAAAAATGGATAAAAATGAGATTGTAAGGTATTGATCCTGGCGTGGGGAGGGCTGAGGAAAAACAGGCCTCATCTATATAGAGAGAGAAATGAAGCAATAATTCAGGCAGGCATCGAACACCATGCCACTGAGCCTATCGATTCCTATCCACAGCATATGAGATCACACCTGAATGAAAGAGAGCTCTGGGGAAAACAGAGAGAGAGAGAGAGAGAGAGAGAGTGGGAGAGAGAGTGTAAAACGGAGTCTGCCATTCCCTAACATATACAGAACATTACCACCCTGACATTAACAGCTCTGTACAAAGCCCACAAGTGCCTGTTAAAAGGTTCTGCTAAAGACCAATTACCCAGCATGCCTTTCTGCTCCATCAGTCAGGGATACTGTTCTAGCCCTGCAGGTCTATGTGTGGTCAGCTGATTCAATTCCTGGTCTCAAAAACAGGAAAGCCACAAATACCGTGTTCTCGCCAGTCTAAAAACTGCCACCCACATTCTGCCCTCGGGCTTCTATGCGAGATATTAAGTGTGGGATTTTTTGGTGGTGTAAGGTATTTTAAAACATACTGTTTTGACTGGCTCCATCTGCTTTTGACAGCACTCAGTATTGTCTTTTAGTAGTGGCTCGTTCCCCTCCTCTCCTCACCCCCGCGGGCCTGTAGTTATTATTGTGAAATATGAAGCGATCCAGCTGTGCCTTCATGAAATTTCAATGAGCATTGATCTGTGTGATTGCGAGGAATCCTTCAAGCAGTGGTTGTTGTTCATTTATTTATTTATTGCTGATATGTTTTACTCGTTTTGATCCCATCTTCTGGAGAAAAGGGAGAGCCGTTGATTGTTAATGTATTTGTAGCTTTCCCTTTTTTTGGAAAATCAGTTCTG